TCATTTTGTTATTGCAAATGATATATAAATACATACATACACCCGAAAAGCAACGCCGATGCCCATGCCCCGCGATACACACAAAACAACAAAACAAAACACGAACAAATACAAAAACAAAAACAAATACAAATACAAATGCAAATACAAATGAAATGAAAAACACGAATTGCGAACAACGAGAAAATAAGAAGGCGACGTAAGAGCACAACGAACTTTTGCGAAATGTGAAATTGAAATTATAAAATAAAACAAAGCCAAAGCGCGGGGAGGGGGATGGGGATGGGGCTGTAGCAAAACAACAATTAAAGCGGCAGGCAGCGGCAGCGGCAATAGCAAAACCAATAGCAACAATAACAAGAAAGAAAGATACACAAACCGAACCCATGGATACCCTTGAAAGAGTGTTTTTTTTCTCTTTATTTTAGATTCCCCCAAAAGGTGCACATAATTGGTGGTTCATGGGTCAAAAGCAACTTATCAAAATATGGCATTCATTTGTGGAAACAAATCCCACAGCAGCTGTGAAAACACGTTTTGTCTATGGAATAATAATGTTCAATTTATAATCCATTAAGTATTTGTGTTTGATTTTGCTTGAATTTAGAGGTGGACTGCCCCACAAAGACTTTCGTTGCGGATGTGCCCCGGTGGAAAATGCTAGACCCATGACCTCCCCTCCACCCCCCCGAAGCGCAGATGCTGGACACTTTCTTTTCATTTCCTTTCCGTCCGTGCAACTGACTCCCAGGGCCTGGATCCTAGCCGTTCTCGGACCCGGGGCTCAGGCGAGTCTTTGGAAGCTTGGGGTGTGCTATTTTTATTATTTTTATTATTATTTGCGCTACGCTTCGTTCTCGAGGTTTTTTGTGGCAAAGTCTGCCCATCCGTCCGTCTGCCCGTCCGTCTGTATTTGTTGGGTTTTTAAGCCAAGGCCAAAGCAGGGGAATTTTTCAACTCTTTCTTTTCCTTTTTTTGTTGAATAAAAAACCGCTTGCAGCTGTAAAATTAACATTTTTAAATGGCAAATATATGCAAAGCGAAGAGATAAAATATGAAAGAAAGAAAGACGGTAGCAAAAGGGAAATGCAAAAATGTTTGCTAAAAACACGAAGGAGAAAGCGAAATGATGGCCCGCTGCTGCGCCCGAGATGGACAATGGATAATGGATAATTATTTATAATTATTTTCGAGTTCATTCACATGAGGAAATCGAAAGGAAAAGGAACGTTTGTTCGCATGAAAATGTTAACGAAAACCTAAGGAAATGGCATGGAATTTCGAGATTGCTAATCGATAAATATGCACAAGTTTAATGAATTGAAAATAAATACATTTAAATGCATAAAATTAAATAGAAAATTATATATAAAGCAAAGGCAGAAAAGATAGAAGGAAATATTATGTGTATAAAAGAGAGATACCAAAAATTATATACAAAAATAAAAGGGAGAAAAAAAACTAAAATAATAGCGAATAAAAATAATAGGAAGATTAATTTACGAATAATGAATACAATTCCCCTTTACTTTTGCTCTTAATTTTATATTTTTAATTATTCAATAAACTCTTTAATAAGAAATAACCTTTTAAAAATCGGTTCCTTCCTAAAGAATGGTCACAGTCTTCCAGGATCTAAACATATTCGAATGCCTGTAAGGGCTATTTGGGATCTACAACATTACATCCCTTGGGCTATAATCGTAAATAAGTATTTATATTTCTTAAAGAATATTCTCGACGAAAGATGTATGGTTAAATATTGTTTATGGGTATTTCCGGGGAAAGGTCCACCGAGACCAAACAATTACCAACCATATACTAAATTGATGAAAACTTAACTTATTTAACCAATAAAATATAGTTTCCTTATTCTTTCATCTGAAAACCTATTCAAATAAGCAAAAGTTGACTTTTTTATAGCCATGTTTTCCCTTACTATTTTCTCCTATAAGAAAGATGATTTTTGGTTAAAGTTTTTCCTCTCAAAATTAGCGTAATATCGACTATTAACTATTAAATAAGAAAAAAAGAACTACAAATCATATTTGCGTCAAATTATAGCAGTGTTAAAGAGAGACAGCTATGCACAAAATTGATCAGAAATTCGCATCAATATTTTGCCTCAACTTTCGCTGAAATCGGAGTTTGAATTGAGTGCCGCTAAAACCACTTCCATTTATCCATCAAATAGTTTCCCAATAGTCGACCTTAGCACCGATTGTAGGGCTAATCAAGAGCTGGGTTATAATGGAGACATCGTTTTAAAAGGACGTATTTTGTAGACCTTTTTAACACTTGCAAAGTGTAGGATTGTCCATTAAAATGATTAATTCTCATGAAAATTTCGTTCACAGAAATACTTTTAATAGAATTTCAAAAGACCACCTTTTCCCCCGAATCTCTTTTGCTTAGTCCAGTTTCGATTATTATTTATAAATACAGAAGCGATTAGCGAATTCTCAGAACCAATTTGAGGGCTAAACTTGAAATCATATTGATATTGGCCGGGCGTTTAATTTGATATTTATTTATAGTTCTGTCGCTGAAACATGGGAAATATGTGGGGGGGAGCTCGAGATACACATCGCAACGCATCGCAGATACATCGAAGAAGTACATATAGTATAGAAAATGACAATTAACAATGTCGGAGGGAACACGCCCACCACACAAATCCGAAATTCATTTTGTTGAATAACTTTTGACGGACGGACGGGCGGACAGACGGGCGGGCACTCCTCTCCGTCTCCGTCTCCATCTCCGATCCAATCCGATATATTCGTTCCGTTCCGTTCCGTCAGCAATTTCTGGGCAAATCAAAATAGATATTTTTTGCCATGTCGCTTTTTTCTTTCTCTAACCCCCACACGTATGTCTATTTGTTTTCCTTTATTTTTATTTATAATTATTATATTTGTATTTGTTTATGTCCGAAATGATGGCCGTATCATTGTCTTCCCCCCCCACCCCCCACTAATGTTTTTATCTCTGTCATAATTTTGTCTAAATAAATGTTTATATTCCTCTAGATCTTTATCTATATCTATGGTATTTATTTATTTATCGCGGCGCCAACACGTGAATAGTGTTTTCGCACTATTTCGGTGGGTGATTCCCCAAAAACTGGATGGGGGAACCCTAATTTCGGATCCATCTTAGATCTGGAAACTCGAGAGACGAAAATTGTTCAACTTTTGATGCCCTAAAATGAAACTTAAAACTTTTATTAATTCGCATTTGAAGAAATCTGCAATTCCAAGAATAATTCTTAGCGGAAGATCGAATATCATTCGATATCCCTTGTTCTCAATTTTATGCAGAATTTTGGTATAAATTCGTTAAATGAGAATGAGACGGATGCCAAGCGGATGTTAAATTAGATATTTCGGTTCGTACGATTATTCTCAGTGCATTTCGATATTTGAATGGGCTTTGAAATCTGCTCCTGGCTGTGGCTGTCTCCTCTTTTCTTATGTGCCTTGTGGGCCGTTATTCTTGCCTTTTAACCATGGCCTTGTGGGTCTCAAAGATCATCCTAGGAGGCGCGAAGAGCCAAGTGCAGACCACATTCCAGACTGGAATTCCATATTTGCGTGGCTCCAGTCGGTGTTAAGGGGAAAATTGGTATTTTCCAAGCACAAAGCTATTCAAATATTACTTACAGACTTTCCCGGAAAACCCCCCTTGGATGATCTGTGTATTTTTCACTAGGAAAAACTATAATACCGTTCTGTGAACACAATTGCGTGGATTTCCCTTTAAATTTCTTGACTGTTTCTTTGTTCATTTTATACGAAAGCAAAGCAGAAATAAACTTGACATTGATTGGATTTCCTTCTCGGATAAACTGTTCCTAGTTGATGCGATTGCTGATTTCCCTCTAATTTTTCGCCGCCATATATATATGATTCATTTTGGGGGCATTTCGTGCTGAGTTTTTTTTTTCGGTTCATTGGAAAGTCTGTTTATTTTCGTTCACGTTCTTCAGAGAGTCGTTGAACTCTCTCTGTCTTTCCCTGTGTCTCACTGTTCCCGTCTCTGTCTTTCCCTGTGTCTCACTGTACCCGTCTCTGTCTTTCCCTGTGTCTCACTGTCCCTGTCTCTCTTTCTCTTATTATTTGTTGTACAAGGCAAAGAGCAGTTTACAAGTTTATTTGTTTTTAGCAATTTCATCATCGTTCTCTGGAATTTGTTCATACTACTCGCTTAAGCGATAAGTATTCGAATTTGGTGGTTTATAGCCGTATAATAAATGCTTTTGGCCCCGCTAAATATTATAAACAAGAAAATAAAGTGTGAACTTTTGTCCGTTTATTGTCTTCGGGCCGTAAACTAAACCGTTTTATGCATTCATTTAATTAAATCTATCGATAAACGTTGTGCAAACCGAAGTACCCCCTAAGGAAATTCGCCAAAAGATGGCAATGCCTTAGATTTGTTGCACAAATTACCCATAAGAGAAAGGATACCTTGTATCTTTACATTTTATGCTAGTAAAATTTAATTTTATTTCATAAAATAAAAGTAACTATTTTTGATTTATTTTGTACAATTTTTTAAAATTTATAATTGTTTTTTTTTATTAACTATATTTTTTCGTGTATTTATTTTTTGATATTCTAATTTATTATTTTTTTTAATTTTAATTATTTATTTTAGTTTATAATAATTTGTTTTTGTGCTTTTATTATTATTTCTATATTTTATTTGTAATAATTTTTTGTTGTTTTTTTTCTTTATTATTTTTAAAGTTTTTAATTGGTGACCAAAAAATGCAGATTATTATATTTGGTATATGAATTTTAAATATACAAAAATTTAAAACCATATTAAAAAAAACTTAAAATATACATAAAAACAAAAATTATTTTTATTTATTTAAAAAAATAGTAAAAAGTAGTGCATTGACCGATTCCGTTCGGCATAACTTTTCCCGCTTTTCCGCATTCCAAATAATATTTTATTAACTTGAAAATGTCTCCCATTTGTTCTTTCAGGCCACCACAATGGACCCCAACAGACATCACGAATATCAGACACATCATCAGCAGGCGGTGCACCAGTCAATGCCACCGCACCACCAACCACATCCGCATCCGCATCCACATCCTCCGCATCACCAGCAGCAGCTGCACCACCCACCACAGCAACCGCAACACCACCTCCAGCAGCAGCAGCAGCAGCAGCAGCATCCGCGTGGCACCACCGCCAACAGCTATGGGTCGCATCCCCCGCATCCTGGGGGAGATGAGCAGCGCTCCCGAACGGCCCTCTACATGATGAACAGCAGCGGAGGCCGGGGGACGGGGGCAGGAGCACCCCCGCAGTCTGTGCCCCAGGCAGGGCCTGCTGCGGCCGCCACGGCCACATCCTCAAGCGATCCGCATTTACAGTACTACACCTCCAATCGGGACCTGGCAGCAGCCAAGAAGCTGCCCCAGCCGCCGGAGCCGCCGCACCCCAGTTGGTCGTACAAGACCGGGCAGTCGGTGCCCTCGCCGGCGCCGGCAGCGGCCTCGGGTCTGCGCCATCACCACGGGAATCCCGCCATGTACCCCACCAGCAGCCAGCAGCAGGCGGCGCCGGCGCATAGCACGGCCTACTGGCCGCCATCGGACGAGCAGATGCACCATCAGCCGCAGCAGCATCCGCCGCAACAGCAGCAGCAGCAGCGGTACTCCTCCTACGGCCCGAAGGCACCGCCCGGCGGTGGCACTGCCTCGGGATACGGGCTGGAGGGATTCGGAACAGGACAGCAGCCAGGACAGCCACAACAGATCGGTGGCAGGCCGCATCCCGGCTATGGCCCACAGCCCGGGTACGGGACACAGCCCGGCTACGGCCCACAGCCCGGAGTGGGGGGCCAGCCCGGGTACGGGACTCAGCCGGAGTATGGCCTTCAGCCCGTGGTGGCCGGCAAGCCTGGCTACGAATCTCATCCCGGAGTGGGAGTGGGAGTGGGAGGACAGCCCGACAGCAGATTCGGCACCCAGACAGGGGCTGGCGGCTACGGCACACAGCCGGGAGTGGGCGGCAAGGCGGGGGGATATGGCGGGGCCCACAGCACGCAGCACCCGTCCACGCCCACACCGCCCACGGCCACATCGACCGCCCAGCAGCACCTGTCGTCGCACCACCAGAGCCTGTACATGCCGATGCCGCAATTTAGCACGGAAAAGTTCCAGACGACGGTCCACAATGCCATCGAGAAGTACGTGCGGGAGACGCCGGCAGCAGGTGGGGGAGCAGGAGGAGGAGGGGCAGCCGCCTATGGAAGGAGCACCGGCTATGGGTACGGCAAGACCTCCTCCTCCTCCTCCGCCCTATCCTCGAAGCCTCCTGCCGCCACCTCCTCCGCCACGAGCTACGTGAAGCTGGAGCCGGAGCACGCTCTGGCGGCGACCCTGCCGCAGCCCACGCGCTCCTCGCTGTACCACAATCCGTACACCACAGCGCAGCCGCCGCCGCCGCCGCACTCCGAGGCGCCGCAGCGGGAGCGCGAGCGGGACTCCTCGCCGGCGATGGCCGCCGTGGCGACGCCCCCCCACGGCTATCCCACCAAATACGGGAAACTCCTGCAGCAGCACGGCACGGGAGCGGGCACGGGAACGGGCGCCACGCCGTACTCCTCGTACTACCACCACGGACACCACGGCACACCCTCGCCAGCGGCCGGAGCCGTGGCCTCGCCCACTCCGCCCGCCCCGCCGCCACCACTCGCCAGCCAGCTGGCCTCCGCCTCCTCCTCCAGCAGCAGCAGCACCACCACGCTCCAGGTCTACCCCCACGGACCGGACATCTGCTACCAGCCGGTGGCGGCTGCCCAAACCCAGAGTCAGGGGCATCCCGCGGCCGCGGCCAAGAAGTCGCCGGCGGTGGCGAAGCCCAATTACCGGGCGCTGATCAACGACATGCTGAAGCGGAACACCGCCAGCGAGCAGGAGCTCAATCTGCAGATCATCAAGAAGACCCTCAATATGGAGCCGCCGCCACGGAACCATGTCCATGCCCTTCCGGCTGCCACAAGGGTCATCCAACAGGTGGCGGCTCCCGCACCAGCGCCAGCACCAGCCCCAGCCCCAGCACCCGCGCCTGCACTCTACTCCCCACTGGATCTGTCCATGCGAACGGTGAAGCAGACGGCCGACTCCACGGAATACAAGTACCAGCGTCCCCACCAGACGACGGAGTACAAGGCCGCCCTGCAGCCGCATCTGGCGGGAGGAGTGGGCGGAGCCGCAGGAGGAGGAGGAGGAGGATTGGGTCTACCGAGATTCGACATCACAGCGAGCTTCTCGGCAGCAGCCAACCGGGGGACGAGTCCCGCGCCCACGGCTGTCATACGACAGGCCCCAGCCACAACAGTTCCTCATCTGCCGCCTGTGGCTGCTCCTGCTCCTGCGTCCGACCCTGTGGCGCCTGCTTTGGTGATCAAATCCCTGCAGCAGATGCGTCCCAGTGTGCTGGAGACGAATCCGTATGCCAAACGTCAGCACCAGCAGCAGCACCAACACCAGCATCTGCCCCCCGAGACGAGCATCATTCAGGTGCTGCCCAAACCCCTGCCGCAGCTGATGGAGCTCACGCCTGCGCCTTCGCCCTCTCCATCGCCCTCGCAGTCGCCATCGCCCAGTCCGCAGCACAACAGCAGCAACCCGAACTATCTGGGCCGGAAGCGGCATCTGCAGGAGTACAACCAGGCGGCGGCCAAGCAGGCGCGTCTGGATGCAGCCATGGAGGCGGCTGTGTCCGCTCCAGTGCCGGTGATAGCCGTCAACGAGCAGGCGCTGGCCGCCAAAAGAGAGCGCGAGCGCGAGCGGGAGCGCGAGAGAGAAAGGGAGAGGGAGAGAGAGCTGCAGCCCGAACCGAGCACGTCCTCATCCTTCTCCGTCATGTCCATGTCCGTGCCGATGGCTATGCCCAAGGCAGAGCCACGCATCCGTACAAAGGCGGAGTTGAAGGGATTCACGTTCACGCCGCCCGTGCTGGTCACCTCAACGACTCCTGCCACCAATTCAGTATCAGTAGCACCTGCGCCTCCGCCACCAGTGGCCAACCTCCTTCCGCCGCCTCCTGCAGTCACAGTCGCAGTCGCCCGGACGCCGCCGAACCACCAGGTGACGAACCACATACAAATCAAGCTGGAACCGGCACCACCTCAGGCGACCACCAACCATCCGGGTGGAGCAGATCTCGGACTCCTCGAGGAGGATCTGGGCTGCAAGAGCAGCCTCCTGGACTGCTGGGGCAGCACCTGCAACAACCTGGTGGAGCAGCTGCTCAGCAAAGCCCAGCCCAGCCCGGCGGGGACTCCGGCATGCGGCAGCAGCAGCATCAAGCTGGAGCTCAGCGAAGATGATCTCCCCGTGGCACGGATCCTCAAGCGGCAGCCAGCAGCAGCAGCAGCAGCAGCAGCGGCAGCCGCAGCCGCAGCAGATGGGGAATCAGCGGCCACCACAACCACCCAAGTGACGACGACGACGAATGGCATCGGCTCCTCCCTGGACAACGGCGGGGGGGCCCAGAAGAAGCTGAGCAAAGTGGAGCGGGAGAAGAAGCGGCTGCAGCAGGAGCAGAGGATCGCGGCCAGGCTGGCGCCGAAGGCGGGCCAGAGCAGCTCCTCGGAGAGCGACACCACGGAGCTGCACAGGCGGACCACCGAGCGGCAGAAGAAGCCGCTGCTCATGCGGAAGGGCCGTGCGCGGCAGAGGTCCCTGGGTGGCCAGACGGGCAAGAGCAGCCAGCAGACGGGCCAAAGCACCGCCGAGGATGCAGCCGCAACGGCAACGGCAGTGGCAGTGGCAGGGGCAGGGGCAGGGGCAGGGACAGTGCCAGTGCCAGAGAAGGGTGGCAGCCAACCCTCCACCAGCGAGGAAAGGGAGTCCAAGAAGGAGTCCGCAAAGCGGGAGGCAGTGCCGCCTCCGTCCGACGGCAACAAAGTGAAGTACGAGGAGACGGGAAAGGCCAAGGGCAAGGCCAAGCAGGAGCAGAGCCAGGAGAACAGCAGCTCCAGCGACGAGGAGGAGGAGGACGAGGAGGAGGAGGAGGAAGACGACCAGGAGGAGGACGAAGAAGAGGAGGCGGAGGCGGAGACGGAGGGAAGGAAGAAGGAGAAATCGGCCAAGACTCTGACCCACAAAAAGCAACAGCAGTCGAATCCCCCCCTCAAGAACCGCATCCTGAACACGATGACCCGCTCGAAGCATCGCAAGGAGCTGGAGCTGCAGCTGGCCAACAGCAAGGTGCTGCGCAACGACAAGATCATCCGCAACTCCACCACGAAGATCAAGCGGAAGTACGTGCGCAAGGTGGTCGACAGCAAGAAGGAGATGATGGTCACCCGTCTGCGGAACAAGCGCGGCCTGGACGCGGCCATCGACTCGAACAGCAGCCAACAGAACGGCCGAACGAAGCTCAAGGGGAAGCAGCAGCAGCAGCAACAGCAGTCCGCAGGAGGAGGTCCTGGCAAGACCAAGACCTCGCCACAGCAGCAACTGTACCTGGAGGAGTATCGCTACAAGGTGGCCCTGAAGATACCCCATCGGCTGATCTCCATCAACAGGCTGAATAAGGTGGCCGCCTCCCTGCCCGACATGGAGCGGCGGGACATTAGCCAGGAGCTGGCCTGCTTCAAGAGCCGCGGCGGTGCCGCAGGCAGAACCCGGACAAAGGCCGCCAGCAAGCAGCACCAGGAGAACACGCCCAAGTCCATCATCGATGTGCTCCACCTGCGCGTGACCAACGGCAGCAGCGCCGCCAGCAGCATCAGCAAGGCCACGGTCTCCATATCGGCACCGGCCTCCACCAACCTGCAGCTGCACAGCGAGACCTCACAGACCTCCGCCTCGAACTCCCTGTACGAGCAGCCGCAGCAGCAGCAGCAGCTGCAGCAGGAGGCGCCACAGCCGCCGAGCAGCGCCGAGACGACGGGCTGCCTGGACGATCCCAGCAGGCGGCACTTTAGCATCTTCGACACCAAAGTGCTCCAGAGCAAGACCCGCACCGAGTCGAAGCTCCAGCAGCGGCGCGAGATCATACGCGAGATATTTGTGGGTCCGGAGCGGCCAGCCTCGGCTCCGCCAGAGTGCGCCCAGGAGGCGGGCGGCGACCACGAGGAGGAGGCGGCCATCAGCTACCAGAAGTACGAGGAGTTTCTCGACCAAATGAACAGCATTATAAGCGCCAACGGCAACAAGCTGCTGGCCCGCAGGACCCTCATCGAGGACAAGCAGCAGCAGCCCTCCTCCGCCACGCAGTGTCCGCACAAGCGCAAGTACCTGCGGCGCAAGGGCAGCTCCGGCTTCGACTACATACGCAAGAAAAAGCGGCCGGCCACCAGTCAGCAGAGTCACAATCAGTCCTCCAGCCATGCCCCATCCAATCAGCATGTGCTCTCCGAGCACAATCAGAGCGCGGCCGACGAGCGACTGGACGACACGGACAGCACCATTGCGGGCAGCTCCCATCTGCCGGCGAAGGTCAAGACCGAGATGGATGTCCTGCGCGAGATCCAGAAGTGGGTGCTCAACAAGGGCGTGGGCCAGAGCACGATGCACAAGGCCGCCCGCCAGGGACTGATCGATGTGGTGGTCTACTGCCTGGATCGCATGCACATGAACCCCGACCAGAAGGACAACGCCGGATACACGCCCCTGCACGAGGCGTGCACCCAGGGCTGGCTGGAGATCGCCCGCATCCTGCTCCAGTTCGGGGCCAATCACTCGGAGGCGGCCCAGTCGGGCATCCGTCCGCTCCACGGAGCCATCGAGAACGATCACGAGGAGGTGGTGCGACTGCTGCTCTCCTACGGAGCCGATCCGTTGCTGGCAACGTACTCAGGTGGGTATTTGTTGGATTCCCCCCACGAACCAGACACAATATCTAACATCTTCCTTCCTTGCTTTTGTCCAGGTCAAACTCCGCTGGCGTTAGCTTCAAGCAAGCTGATGAGTGGCATTCTGAGCGATCACCTCAGCGATGCACAAAGTGCCGCCGCTGACATTCATCCAATGCGATTCCAAGGACCATGGGACATATTTGGTGAGTGCAACACCGGCAGCTGGAGATGGAAATGGAAATGGAAGGAGTCGACAGTCAGAAAACTCAAAGATGGCATCTCCAACGGTTATCCATAAGCAGAGATAGCATTTAGTATTTTAGCTCTCATCAAACATTGAATTATTGGTTTATCGTAGGAACCAATGGGAACATCTGGCCTTTGGACCGATTCTTCCTATGGCAGCTCTATAATATAGATGTCCGATGCGCCCGAGTTCTTTTAAGTCATTAAAGAAAGCTACATGCAGTTAGATACAGATAGTTTTAAAACACGGACAGCTTATCTTAGCTTCGCCCTCCTCTTTCACCTAGTGTAACATATAGTATAGCCAAGGCCTCGTCCTTAGAGCTGATAAGTTGGGCAATCCGCTTTAATTAATATCCGTGTAGACGTAGCCATGTCTGTCCATGGTAGCACACTTCCATTGGAATCACATGCACATCCACAGATGATAAGAATGAGCTTGATTCGTTGTACAAATTTCGCATAAGCGAACGGACACATGAGCCGCGAGCCATTCGGAACTCGTTCGATATTTAAGTCTAGTCTCTGCATCTAATGATAATCTTCCATTGTGAGAGTGCGCCTGTCTGTTTGTACCTGAGATGCCATGCTAATAATCTGCTGTATCTTTTTGAAATCTCTTTCAGATGCTAAGGAATACGGTTATGATATATTCGATAATGTACCGAACACAGCTTGTGATAAGAGCCGAGCTCTACGTAGAGAAAGGAAAGAGGTGAAGCAGCAGCAGCAGCAGCAGCAACAGAAGTTCTGCAGCAACGTAAATGGCAATGGAAGTGTACTTTTGCCAGCCAAAAAGGAGGAGCAGCAGGAGGAGTCTGAGAAGAAGGTGGAGACAACGATTAAGCAGAATGGGGAGAAAAGTGCAACAAAGACTGGAATAAATGTAGCAGCAGCAGGAGCAGGAGCAGCAGATGCAACAACCACCACTACTTCTGCGGCAACAGCAATATCAACAGCACGGATGATGGTGAAAATGGAGCCGGGAACCGAGGAGGACGAGCGGGTCGAGCAGCAGGAGGATAGCAATAACAATAAAAACAACAACGAGGCGGAGCTGAATGCGAATGTTGAGAATAATTTAGTAACAAGCGTTGTGACTGTGAAGAATGAAGTGAAGAAGGAACTGGATGTGGATATGGATGATGTGGATATGAATATCGATAGGGAACGAGAAAGGGAACGAGAACGAGAACGGGAACGAGAACGGAATAGACTTGATGACATGGATCTGGCGGAGAGCGAGACAATGGATGATAGTGAATTGAATGGTGATATTTTTGAATTTGAAGAGGCCGATGTGCCCCTGCCACCACTGTACTTGCTCAAAGACGAGGGCAGTGACAAATGGGTACTACTGAACGATTTGTGCAATTTACTTAAAGTTAAATCCAAGGATACGCTCCTCAACAAGGTACGCTATACCACATACGCCCACGTGTATTCCATGCATTGAAATTTCTCTCCTCTTTCTCCCAACAGCTCTGTCCGAATAATAACAACAACAACAACAACAATGCGTTGGCCAACAGCCAGAAGCAGCTGCTGCGGGAGTTCAAGATCGATGATTTCCTGGAGAAGGCCACCTGCCTGCAGCTGCTGTGCGCCGGCGAGAAGCTGAACATGTTCAGCTCCTCGAAGGTGGTGCTCATCAAATACAACGACAGTGTCAAGAGCTTGTTGGGCGTCAAGACAATTTTAATGAAATTTTAAACAGAGATATACAAAGGATACTATACTATATGTAGGAACCAGAACGATGGAGAAGGAGAAGGAGAAGGAAATGGAGATGGAGATGGAGGAAACGGGAACGGGAACGGGAACAGAACCCCCTAGATAAATTATGAACAGAGAATTATGAACCCTACTACCCGACTAACGTGCGTAAGGAGAGCAAACAAATTTGAAAGAAACAAAAACTATTAGTACGAATATAATTGTAGCAGCGATCTAAATGTATATACGATATTTGCGGTATATATTTTAGCTAGTAGCTAGTTTTTACCACACATACACACGTCTTTGTCTTTGGAAGATGGAAGATCTTTTTTAAAGGAAATTAAATTAGAGCTAATGCAAAGTGATACAAAGGTGCTATACACACTCAAAACGAAGAAAAACGAAAATGGGGAAAATGCAAAAATTCGATGCAGATCGAGACGATGTAGAGCGGAATACGGAGAGAGATATGGATGGGGATGGGGACGGGGATAGGGATAGGGAGAGTGAGAATATTGATGAAATCTGGAATCTATTGCAAATTAGAAAGTAGAACAAACGGAAGGAAGGATGCTGTAAGAGAGTCGATAGACAGACAAACAGACGGACACACGACAAAATGTATGCCAGCCAAGCAGCTAAATATAGTAAATATATATATATATATATATTGTATATTGTATATCTAGGGATAATGTGTAATCTATGGTTTTAAAACAAGCAAAAAGCAACAACAAATTAGCAAAAGTATAAACGTAAGGCGTAATTATTACAACATATATATATATGTATATATATATATTGTAATCAGATTAGAGAGAGAGAGAGAGAGAGAGAGGAGTATTTATGTATTATGTATTTTTAAACGAAATTATTAACATAACGTACAGATCCAACTATAATGTAAATCAATTTTCAGATAGGTTTGTAATTTTCTATGTATGTATGTAATTGTCGTGCGTAAGTTTTGTGCAACTATAAAAACAAACAGAAACCATACAATAAAAACAAAATAAATGAAATGTGAATTTTTGGCAATTTGAAAATGTTTTGTGTTTCTTTTGTTAAAGAAAAAAGATAAATCCCAGTAAACACACATCAAAAACTACATTTATTCTTAACCTGATTTTAATATAACTTATTGAAATATTTTCCCAAAAAGCATGGGAAATAAAAACCCACTGGATCTACATTTGAGACTAAATAAGCTCCGCTAGAAAACACGTCGTGTAACACAATATATCACATATGTATTTATTTAGAATATTCAAAGCGGTTCTGTTGAGTTTTCCCGATGTATGGTGTGGTATGGATGTACCATTACCAAAAGAATAGCCGGGGATTGTCATTAGATCGCTTAATTTATAGGACAATACGTATCTCCCCCATGCCCCGCATGTTGTGAGAAATAGGGGAGTGTTCTTTAAGTTTTTAGGTCTATCTAAAACTCAATGTCAGACCATTTCCCAAGGGATCCCAAACGTAAGTCAGGATCCGGCCCAAGAACTCTAATATTACAGCACAGCATTTGGTATTGTAGGTGCAACACTTTATTCAATTTTGGGTCAGTCCCTATGGGATAGAGTTAATATTTGGATGGTTTTTCATCAGAAATGTAATGAGGACAGAACGGACCTTCAGAATTATGTAGAAAATACACTACTCTGAGAAGGGAGGCACAGGAATTTCATGGTTCTTTCAATCTCTTAGAGCGATCAGGCAGTCTGGTCTGACCTGGGACTATATACACCTACTAGCTGACCCGTATAATCATTTGGTTCAGTATTGTGAACTATTTCTGTTGCTCCAAACGATGCCATTTGGAAGCACGAATATGCGAATGGACTTCAGGAACAGGTTTGAATCTGGATTTCAGGTAATGGCTCTTTTCCTGATGCGCAACACATACCCTCTGACTCATGTTCGACTTTGAGCGCATGAAAATGCGGGCATTCTTTGTCCATAGCCAAGAGAAGGGGGAAAGTATTTCTACTAATAAACATGCTGAAGGAAAGGCCAGCTGACCACCCCTGCCGTCCCCTGGGTACACCCTAGTCTATAGCATCAATCAGTACTTTCCGATGAGCGGATTATTCAATATTTGGCTCATAGAAGAAGAAACGAAGCGGATGTACATGCTCGATGTACTTGTTGGCGTTGTCTGCCATTTTCTCTGTGACAGTCCATAACGCACCTGCGCTGTCTTTGTTGATTTCGTTCACCTTGTGCCTCTTGTGATTGAGATTCTTGGACTTTTTTAATACAAAATTAATAGAATCCCCCTTAAGAAATGGTTGTGGTAGGAAAATGAAAAATAATTTATAAACTATATTCAATAAAAATTCATAAAAATCGGTAGAGCTGTTTGGGAGGAGTTGGACCACAAAAACCGGGACACGAGATTATTATACCCGGTACTCGAAGAGTATACGGATGCACTACATTTGTTGTGAATGTGCGTAAAACCCAGAAGGAAGCGTTTGCGACCCCATAAAGTACATAAATTCCTGATCAGCATTAATAGCCGAGTCGATATAGTCATGTCTGTCCGTCCCGATGATCGCCTAGATCTCAAAGACTGTGTTTGTGTTTTTGTTTGGAAATTTGTAAACACCTCTTCCGCCCCAGGACGAAAATCTGCCTAAGAGAAATCGCAGAATCATAGAGAACGACTATATCTACCAAATTTCAGAATTTGGATCAGATCGGATCATTAGTACTATATCCAGTACAAACAAATGTTTAATTTTAATTTCTACGAAATTTTTAATGGTTTTACACATTTTTTTCTCCGGATGTACGACTATTCTCGTCATAAATATTCTACTTTATGTATTTTCTTCACTTAAATTTAGCGATCGACTGTCTGTTACATATATGAGTTTTTATAGAACGGTGTTCTTTAGGTACAAAAATATGTTCATGCTCGAACAAAGCACGAGTTCAAATTCGATAACACACCGATATCAGTTGGCGCCCATTGGGCAAGCGATAAAAGTTCTCTCAGCTCACTCACATGCTGGCCTCTCTTTCGTGCTTGTGTGTGTGCGATTGTATGCATGAGCGAGCTTTGAGCTGAAAGCTTCGCTGCTTTCATATGATTGCCGTCCTTGTTCTTCAAATGCACGTTTAAAGGCCAAGAATAAATTCGTTGCTGCTGCTGTCCTTGGCCCCGCTACTCTCCGGAGATCCACATACGCGCGCGCACACACACACACTATGCGAGGGCTTTCCGTCTTCTTCTACCTACGCCAACAACTTTTGCTACTCTTTACTGTGTTCCCGTTTGCGTGTTGGCCTACAGACCTAATTTTTTGCGTGCGTTGTGCGCGGCTCCGTGAATAGTTTTTCCCGAAAAATAAAAAATAAACCACAAACCAAATGAGAGGGAGAGTGCAAAATAGAGATTAAAGTGAAAGTAAATGGTGCGAAAAGAACTCTCAACAATCGAGCGCTAGTCTGTGTATAAAATAATTCTCCATGTGTCCATAACGGGAGTGGAGTGGACGGACTGTGTTGTGCCCCATCGTGCTGTGTTCCTCGGGTTCTCGCTGTGTGTTTTCTGCTGCTAATGTGCAATTTTTATGAAATTATCACAGAATGAGGCAAGGCGATAGATAGCGCTGTTGTTGTGTCATAGAATTGGAGCAGCAAGCAGCAACAAAAAATTAGCAGCCAGGCAGCAGCCCCTGCCCCCGCTCCGTAAAAGTAAACGCAACAACAAGTTCCCCTCTATATCTCTATCTGTGTGTGCCTGGTGCCTGTGTGTGTACCCACACAGAAAACTGTGCTGTGTGTGTAATAGGAATTGCAATTTATATGTACCGAGCTTTTCGCTTGTTGCGCGCGTGCGACGATTGTGCAAGAAGAGTTTCCTATTTCCCATTGCAATAATTTCATTCTCGCCTGTCCTCCGTTGTGTGTGCGTTCCTCCCAAAAACCAAAATTCGATGTGAGAAAGACCAGGCGAAAGAGGAAATAGGCGAAACAAGCCAGCGAATAGCAAGAGAATCGCGAGAACTGGCGCAGTAGCGCACAAAAAAAAGAACGAATAGTGAGAACAACACAAAAAAAATAAAATCGCAAATGCGTTCGGCGTCGCTGGCTGTGTGTGTGTGCGTGTCCGCGTCTGGGCCTGGTGTCTGTGTGAGGGGGGCGCAAAAAATATGCTAAAAAAGCTTTCGTCGTTGCCTCCGTTGTCGTCGTCGTCGTCGCAGCAGCAGCAGCAGCAGCAGCAGCTGCTCGCACAGGCGGAAACTGTTGCTGCAGGCCGTGGCAGAACCAGAGCGAGAGAGGAAGAGATACACCGAGTGGAGAGGGAGTGAGCGAGAGATCGATCCGCCGAAAGGGAGACAGCATTATGAATCACACGCAAGCTTTGTTTTGCGAATTATAAATTCGCCTTCTCCACGAATTCCCATGTGAAGCGGAGGACCGACAACAAAATAGAGAGACACACAGAGAGAAAGAGAGAGAGAGAAACAAAAGCGAAAACCAACAAAAGTCCAAGACATAATAATAGAACTTTTGCTTTCGGTTCCAACTGGTTTTTGTATGCCCAAAGAGAGCTAAGGAGAGCGGGCGAGAGAGCGAGACCCAACCAGACAACAAAGAGGCGGCAGCTTCCAGCGCTGCTTCTTCTCCTTCTTCTCTTCTCTGCGATCGTCTTGGAATCATAGCTGGAAACCGGGCGCATGCGCAGAAGCCAAAACGAAGGAACGAGAACGTGTCGCAGTCAGCGTCAACGTCAACGTCAACGTCAGCTGCATGAAAGGTGAGTCCACGTCCCTCTTCCCCACTAGTTTCCTCTAGAACTCCAATCCCCTTCCCCCCTCCAAAGCTGTCCGTCTGTCAGGTCTTTTGTCTAGTTGGGCGAGAACCCGCACAGGGGTTGAATGGGATTGGTTAGGGGGGATCTCCGAACACGAAACCCAACGAAACGAATAAGAAGTAACTCAAAAGTCGAATAAAGTTAATTAAAGTTACATACATAAATACATAAATACATACTTTACATATTCAAGTTTCGTCAGAGTGGGGGGATTACCAGTTTTTCGGTTTTATGAAGTGGAAAAGTGTTTCCAAAGGGGGGGAAGAACCAGACACGAAAGTAATAACTAAAGTTAAATGGATCTTAACTTTGGGAACTGTCGGTAGAAAAGGGTCCCATTTCATGAGAAAAAACAAGAGAAAAACACAAGCTTTCTGGGGTGGGACTAACCCTAGGGTCGCCCATGGGAAGGGTTCGTTCTCGTTCTCCCTTTTTCAGACCCCTCCTACGGATCGCGTGGAGAGGGAGTCCCGTTAATTAGACACTTAATTCAGTTCAAATAGATATTGATTAAATTCTTGATTCGAAGTGTCCTTTCCTGACATTGTCATAACTTAATTCATTATTAATGATCTGGGAACTAGGAGCTATGAAAAAGGGAAAAGGTTAAAGGACAAAAATACCAACTAAAAGCTCTGCCTTGTATTTGGGTCAAATGTATTTATATTTAATGATTAGCGTTACTATTTTGTCCCGTACATTTCGTAATATATTCCTTTGGAAAAGGGTTTCAAACATTCAGTTTGGGCAATCGAAAGAAATCTCGCAGAAAGCTCACAGGAAAAAGCTCGCAAAGCTTTGGGCTGTAAAGAGTTGACCTTGACATGCTTTCGAATACAGTTGGGTTTGTCCTTGACCTACATACACACATGCACGCATTGCACAGAAGAACATGACCTTCAACTTGACCTTGCGTTGTCTGGCTGCGGTAAATGCATATTTCCTGATTTCTGATTTGTGTTTTTTTTTTGTCTTTGCAGGTTCTTTTAAGTGTAAGAAATTATAAAAATAATTCTACTACCGTTACCTGCCACCAATCACCAATCCAGCAACAATACACATCACAACGAAACGTACAAAAATACAAGTTATACCATATATACTAGATATATAGAAAGAAGATAATATACCCACCTCCTGTATAAGATGGACACCTTCAATGTACCTTTGCTGGCGGAGAGCACCAGCAGCAGCAGC